TGACGTCAAGAATTTTAGGAGTCACAATATTAAAAGTGCAAAGGGAAACTATTGTAGGAACACAGGTGTAGTGTTAGAAACTAGTCTCTATGAGGATTCAACATTGCGTTTAGTTTTGAGTCTTCAACATGCTACACTTAGTGAGCGTCGGACGCCACAGCTAAGTCGGACACCAACCCGCCCATCATTTGAAATAGAGGTGACCTTGTGACCTGAGAGCTTGACCGCAGTGCCCAAGGGACAACTGCTTGTGGTCGGTCACACACGACGTTTTTGTAAGTGGTTTTCGTGTCAGCTTCGTACTGGTTGAGACCTTACCGCCGGAGACGGATATCCGTGGGATAAGGCAAGGTGTGCACTTTAGGGTGGGCCTTTTATAACCCCATCCCTCCTTGTGGGAAGGCAGCATTGCTGTTACGCGGGTTCTCTGGAGGAAATACCTTACTGCCGTCACACCTGCACAGTCAGCAGTACGACTTCGCCATCGGACTTTGCTGCTTTTAGTCTTACCGTTCTTCAGCCGACCTGTCTGGCACAGTAGGACCATGAGGAGTGATTATTCCGGCCAGTATAGCTCGATTGGTTCATCACGACAGCAAAGCCCGATTACCACTTCAAGGTAGCAGCAACGGTCGAGGGGACGACATCAGATGGTAAGCCAATAATCAGGGATTACTAGACTGCGGTCTTGTCCCAATACGGAACAGCTCGACGGTGAACGCCTTTTATCGAATCCAAATGCTAATCTTTTTGTAAGTTTCGTATATACGTATATTGACAGCATAACGGTATTCGTGTCATAACAGGTCCTCATTACTAACGCTAATTTAAGGCTAAAATTGTAGATGTAGGGCATCGATGACTTAAAACAGCACATAGAATAAGTAGGTTAAAAAAGTGGATCGCGAAATCTTTTGCTGACAAGATTTGTTAACGTTGTTTGTTTTTGAATTTAAACTCGATGAGGATCTTAGTAAATGTAATATACAAACTGGCAGAAAAAGATTTATATCTGGGGATAAAGTCCCAAACGCTACTACCCGGATAACATGTGGGAAATTAAAAAGCAGCAAAACACGAGCAGTATAAAGCAAGCAAAGGAAAAAACGTCCATTGAAAAGATAAGATAACAATAGTGAAATTAGCACAAGCTGTGCATGTATTCCTTCTCTTGTACTACGCAATCTGCAGTCCCTAAAATTGTGTTTAAACGCTGTTTTCACGATAATTGAACTCGAGCTGACTATCTTAATTTTTTCCTCCACACTTTTTGTCGAAGAAGGTTTATTACAGCATATCTATTGAATTTCAGACGTGTGAAACAATCGTGACGTACGCGTCTCCTCAAGGTCATGGTCTAAAGCAAGCGCACTACGTGTCTACTTTGCAACAACTATAAACTTAATAAGTTGGGAAGCATTTTCTGAGCCAACAAATGTTGTAATTTGTAGATTATGCCTGTAAAAATGGCGTGTACCTGCTCTTGCAGAAATATATCATTATTTACTAAGATTCTCATCGAGTTTAGATTCAAAAACAAACAAGAAGTAAGGGAAGTCAAGATTTGTACAAGAAAAGCTGTTTATTAGAAGGAAGTGTGCATATTGAGGATGGAGTGTTAAGAATACTAATAACTATATCTTTTACTGTCTAATTTTTTTTCGTTTTTGTCCATCCGATGCCAGCCACAAAATCCTAGTGTAATAGTCCGAGTTAGCATGTTATAGGTTGTCTTAGTACAATAGCTAATCCGGCATGAAATTGAGAACGTGACAGTGAATAGCGAGCGTCGGGGAACAACCTCAATATCACTGAATGAATATCTCCTTCTTAATCACAACGAACCTGATACAAACAAAATATTCTGCCCCACAAATATGGGTGGATTGAAGTCATCGCTCTCACCATCATTGCTTGCTGGTCAGTAATTCCACCCTCCCTCCTTTTGTGATGTTAGGCTCATTTAAACTTATTTTTGGATATATGTCATACCTCACACAATTCTGTGTGTTTCACAACCTGTTGGAAAATACTATTTCTATAAGTACCATTTTACAAGCTTATCAGGCAGTTACAAGTTATTGACTGTGGGTAAGGCATCGATGCAGTGCTTCTGTTGACTATAGTATAAAGTATAGTTTGTCAGAGTATAAGCATTAAGAAAGGTATAATGTAGGATAGTTGTTTATTAAAGCAGGTGGAAAAGTATAGAAGTATATGAGTTGCAGATAAGGTAACGAGTGGAGAAATAATATTAATAGCTGGTCAATATAGTGTACAGAAGAGTAAAAAGCTAATACAGGATAAACAGGTAGAAACCCACATTAACTTGGTGCTGATGTTATTTTGTGTTGTCCTAGCCAGTTGGTGGGTAACAGGCTCCATAGATGCAAGATCATTGGTAGTAGGCAGTCGATTCTGCGTTTCTCTTGACTTTTTAGGGTGGTAGTGAGCGTCCCTTATCTACCGAGTTTAGTTGAACAGTATCGATAGGTCCAGTGAGTTGCCTGTCTATTTCAAGTGAAGAAATTGGATGGAAAAAGTAACTAACACAGCTGCAAAGTAGGAAAAATAAGGCAAACTGAATCTCGGGCAAGAACTATCTTACATGTTGAAAAAGTAAGGTTTTTGAGTAGTTTGAAATAGAGAATCAAACTAGACCTAAGCCTTCTCTCCAAAAGGGGTGCTATTCCTAATATTTGGCATCAGGAACTGTAGTCAGTGACTGAGTCGGTCATAAGTGTTTTGCGGGTGAAGTCTCTTTGTATTCCTTCCACCTTTAGTATATCAGATAAGCGTAGGTTGGAAAATAAGAACGAGCAGTATTCAACGATAGATCTTACACAAACTTTATAAAGAAGGATTTGAGATTCATTTTGATAGAAATTACAGAGAATGAAGCCAAGCGATTTCCGCATTTCAGATGCTTTGGCTGAGATGAGTTCAGAGAAATTAAGACTGTGTGATTAATGTACCCCTAGGTCAGTTATTGTTGCCAGTCTGGGCAGGGTGTCATGGTTAAGTGTTGTTTTTATTTTGATAAACGTGTCTCCTATACATAACCAGCCGCATTTCCCTGTGTCGAGCTCTGACCTCCAGCGTTTGCACCAGTCGTTTACCATGTTGAGTTCGTGCTGGATTGCTTGCATAGTACTACGTACATCGCAAATGTCAGTTTTATAGATGACTTTTAAGTCATCGGCATAGAGATAGGTTTTACCTGTGCTAAAGCACTTGCATATATTATTGATATAGATTATAGAGAGGAATGAACCCAAGACAGCACTCTGCACAACACCACTGGTTATTGGTCGAGGTGTAGATGTTTTAGAGTTAATCTTGGTTATTTGGTATCTGTTCTTAAGAAAAGACTTGGTCCATCGCAAAAGGGGATTTATAATTCCAACTGACTTAAGTATGTTGATTAGAAGATTATGAGGTACTTTATCAAAGGTTTTCTTAATATCGAAATATGGTATGACCACTAGTATCTTCTGGTCACGTGTGCGAGTAACGTCGTTAAAGAAGTCTATCAGATATGTACTGCATGACCTTGTTCTGATGAAGCCGTGTTGTGATGGGTCTATTAGATCTTCCTTAAGTATGTGATCGGAGAGCTCAGTTTGTATCACTTTTTCCATTATGCGTGTCTAGTGAAGATTTGGTGGTAGTATTGAATATTTCTAATGTTTCTAAGAAGTTATCACTGGTAAAGAAACCGCTCCAGTCAGAGTGCTTTATTAGAAATCGAAAGTTTTTCCAGTCAGCGTTTGCATAGTCTCTATGCTGGAAACGCGTATTTAATGTCTTTAATTTGTTGCACATGGCAGGAATATACAAACTGACAGAAAAAGATTTATATCTGGGGATATATCAGGAGATACCAAAAGAACAGAATTATATGGGAAGCATTCAGCATGTAGGTATGAAATTTGAGGAAAGTTTCATCTTACAGACGAGTGCAAACTGAAATAACCCCCTAACACCATAAACTATCCACTTCCGTCCTGATCATCGTCTCTCTAACAATACAGCAGAAAATAGACTAGCTCTTCTTCTGACAGATACTGCGACGTCAGTAATAGCTACCTGAGTGATACAAACAATAATTAAGCTGCGCTGCACTTTGTCCGAGGACAGATAACGGCGTGATGCTGGTAGCAGCAAGCAAATCCTGAAATAGGTAGTTCCGTGGCCTTTGACATTGATACTTACTTCATCAGTCCACCTGTACACACTGCTAACTGAAGACGCCCGATCAGTCGACGACTGGGTATAATGTGTGGTTCATCTTTCGCATGACCTGGTCAGCTTCACTTACTTTCAACACATCGATTATCTCCCTAGAACCACTTCACTCCTGACCTACGGTTCGATTAGTTTTAGGATCATCATTCGGAAACGTGTTATGGACAATATCGTTGTCAAGCATTCAGTATTCGTGAAGTGTTTGTGCTAATCTGCTTAAACCAAATTGAAGTTCAAAACGAAGTGGAGATGGATCAAAGAAGAAACTGTATGAATACTAATTTCTGGGTCTGATCGAGCTAGGCTGTAGAACGCGAAGCCACGTGATCATAATGGACAACGTATTAAGTGTTCTAGATCATCACCAAAACTCTTTTGTGCTCTTATTGACTCATGATTTACATATATCCATTCAAAGTTATGCGCTCATTCGTCTCCTTTCTTTATTCTGTTGAGTTTTTTTATTGCGTTTTGGAAGCCACCAGTTTAGCTATTTTAACTACTGACCACTAAAGTGACAACTTCTGGTAAGAGAGACAATGACTAAGGACAAATAGACTAAGACTGAAAATTTGCTGACTGTCGAATAATTGGAGACTTTCCCAGGAATATCATAGCCTAGTGAGTGGGTAGGTTACTATAAACATTTTAAAGCAACTGAAGACTTTTATTAACATTTAAACGCTGGTAAGAAGAAATCAAACGGTTTGTTAGGCTCGTTAGATAGATATTGAACACAAAATGTGTTACTATAGTGATATTAATACTTTCAAACGTACTTGGAGCCTTACGGTACAGTTTTGTAGTTGTGATTATCTTGTTGTCTTGAGTTCACGCTAGTGTTATTTCTGTTTTCTGTCAGTTGTATCCACGGCTAGGTGTAAATGAGTCCTATATGTTTACTAATCAGTCAGACTACAGTCGGATAGCCTATTTCCCATAGGAACCGAACATCCCTACTTTGTGGAATATTTTGTCTGTTTTGGGGAAACCGCTTTAGAAAACTTTTGGAAAATGGCAAAAAGCTTCAAAGTTTCCCCAGGTTTGGGAACGTCCCCAAAGGCTCTGTGAAACTTCGGATTCCAAATCTCCGAATTTCGGGGGAAGCCGCCATAGTAAACTTTGAGGAAATGGCACAAAAAATCCGAAATTCTCCTATATCTCCCGAAAATTTCCCCATAATCCTATTACACTTTTGGGGAAGTGGGCTTATATTTGTTAACAACACCCCAAAATTGTGAAAAAACTTTGGGGAAAGTTTTTGCGTTTTTCCTCAAAACTTCCCCTGACTTTGGCGAGAAATTTCTTCAATATTATTGTTGAAGAAATGTCCCTAATGTCTTATAACACTTTGGGGTTTTCCCTCAAAATTTGCCCGAAATTCCTCGGCGTTTTCGCCAAATAAGAAGATTGGGGAGCGATTTCGTGTTCAATTTTGGAGGGAAATTCCACAATATTCAAACTTCGTGAAATGTTTGACCCGTTTTGAGGAAATACTGAAGGGAATTTTGACAAGTTCAACTAAAAACCCTAAAATGTCCATTAGTCTGGGGTATAAACTTTAGTCTAACTATCTCCCATATAATAATTAATCCATGGGGGATAGTTAAAGTCGACTTTTCTCGTAATTAGTTTTGGCACTATTTTCATTTTTCATAAATTCTTACAATTTGCGATTTTAAATGACATGTTGTTTAAAAAATAACCTTTGACCTCCCGTTTCGGTTTGTGAACACATAACATGACCCATTGGTTATCGCTCACAAATACACTGCTGCACACATAGGCTATTCTAGTTTCTGAACAGACTAATCTATTCATTCTTCTCAAAACACTTTTTAACCTTGTCACTTACTGGCTTATTACCCTGACTGTTTTTATATGATTGTATGTGCGTTAATTACTTACCCTGTTCATTATTTGTCTGTAACGTATTTTTGTTTGACTATAAATGTCGAGTCACGCTTCATTAAATAGAGTTGGCTCCTTTGCCTCCTCTATCGCGCGCCATTTCGCTTCGTTTCTACCATCAATTGTCTGGATCAACGATTGTATGAAATACACGTATTTGGAATCCATTCTCTCATTTGACCTACTTAATCCCGTTATTCACCAACGCAAGTCAAGTCGATAATTATGTACGAGGATTGACGACATGTACATTTTGATAGCAATCATTCATACGATCCGAATTGAGTCAGATATAGAGCCACTAAAGCTCAGTAGACGCAAGCCTACTGAAGGCTGAATGTCGCAACTTTTCTAAATTAGTATACCACTGTTGTTATGATATTATATATAATGTCAAGCAAGAGACAGTTTTTGACTTAAAAATCATTAATTGGTTGGATCATTACATGTGCTTGGACAATTGCTACCCAAACAACCTAAAAATGAGGTAATAAAGATGAACGCGCCGAAATAGGAGGCATTCCTTAAGAAAATATGATGACGGAGGGTAAACGTGTCACCACTAACAAATCTGTGTTTTTAGCTCAGAACATCTTCAATGTTTGCTCTTATTTGTATTGCAGAACAAAAGTTTAGATACAGCTGACTAGACCAAAAAATTATACGTATTTAAAGATATTCATTGACGAAAATCAACATAGTTAACAGCCAGCTAACGTCGAAGTCACACCTCATGGCTAGTACTTATCGTGATTTACCCACGTACTATGGCTATTTTGATGATCATACAACACGGACGACGTTATTACAGAAATAAATTGGTAAGAGTAGGTACAAGAAACGGAATGAGACCACTGCTGCATTGGCTAGTCCATGGCGTGCAATCAATTTATGCCAGTTTTTGTCCTTGACTTTGATGAGGATTGTTGAACTTTCCGATATTCAGTGACCCAACTGTCAGATGATTTGGCTAGGACCCAGTGACGTTTGACTGGCCCTACATGCCCACCATACATTTTCATTGTAAATACTAATTCTTATAGTCATTTAAGAAGATCTTCGAAAAGATTGTAAGTAACAGGAAATGAGTTATTTACTAAGAATGTGTTCTGAGTATCAACTCCATATAAAATCATGCACGCTCTCACTACATACATTTAATTTGTCTCAATGTAGCACTTATAAGTGAGGAAGTGAATGCATAGTAAAAACACACTTTATTAGAAAAATGGGTCTCTTTGGAACTTCATTGGTACTATTCAGAATCATATTGATCATCCTGTGGATCCTGAGATATAATAAAAATTAATATTTACAACAATGCTAGACTGGTATATTTGTTTTTTATTACCAACTGACAACATAAAGTGAGACACGATAATGTTCGTTAACACCGAACACTGCACCTATAAAGCAACAATGAAAAGTCATCATCTCAAATTCGTACTTGCATTATCTATCCTCTCTCTATAACGCCTTCATTGTTTATCTCATGTCGTGGAAATGTCCTTGCGTCGCCATGTCATACAATTTCACGAGGTATTTTTCAATGACAGTTGATGATGAAGTATGATGATTAGTAGTATTTGAATTGTATTACAAACAAAGAATCTCATCAATAACGCAATTTTACCAAGAAGTATTAGATAAGCACGACTGAACGTATTGTATCAAGCAGTCATCAAGTACAAAGAAATCATTAGTTCATACAAACACCACATAAAGACCGTAGTGTTCGTGTGCCTAAAGATTAATAAACACTTCATGTTCTGCCACAAAACCTGCACGTCTGGCGTGCTCGTTTTGATGAAGCGTGAAGGAGCTGGCCGCTTCAGGTTTCATGATGTATGACAAGATATAGCCCACGGATGGTTCGGGATTATCAACCATTAACCGCATCAGTGTGACCATTTACAATGCGAAGTGACAACCCGACGGTTTTTGTAGACTAATAAGTTTGTCCCTCATGTGTTTTACCAAAGACATGCATCTATAGCCTGCATTTCCTCTCCAGATGACAAGGGGAAATTCAAAGTTCATAGTCCCATATCACGTTTCCGTGGATTATCTTGCCTATCGGACTGAGACTGAGACATGAGCTGCACAACGTTGGTACTGATGTCTGATATTACTGATGACATGTTCTGCAGAACAGCATGCAGGTTTGCGAATCTAGGACGGACTCCATTTCAAGATATGATCTAATCAACCACAAAACTAGTCTCAACAGTGGTTGACGGCAACGTTTCTGCTTATATAGAACTTATTTATAAACATTTGTAGGTAGAACACGCTAGTCCGCGATTGATAACACTGTAGTGTTTATTAACCTGAACTTTGGATATTAAACGTGACTGATTCTACCCTAGATTTCAGCCACGTCCATGTCAACTGTAGTTGAACATTCATCAAACTAGAACGTGTAATATCACTGGAGAATTCACTCTAATGCTACTCCCAGGTATCTAAGGGAGTTACACACTACATATTTTTTTCAAATATTTATGGTAGAAATCAAGTACGAGGATGATCTTGAGCGGTTCTCGGAATAATTGCGAAATAATTACACCTTACCTCGCTCAAAATAAGGTTAAGAACTGAGATTAAGAGTTAATGTAACGAGTCAGGATAATAAACTACAGTTATTTTTCCATCATGAAATGACATCAATCATAATCCGAGAACCCTGAATAAGCATATAAAGTGAATGGATATCATGTAAGAATTCAAGAGGCACAATCTGAAACTTGATTTGTCCGGCTCTGTACTTTAGTTCCAACCTACATACATTTTACGCCTTCGGATTTTTCTGTTATTGTTTTCTTAGTTAGATATACCAGTTTCAACTTCATGCATACGTCATTGCTAATTGTTATTGATTGCTTTATTATCAAGTGTAACTATTCCGTGTGCATAAATGCATACCAATTTCACTGTGGGGTCTACTCACGCCTTCTCTTGTCTTTCTCTCCCAGATTCCTACTCACACTCGTCATCCCGTCATCAACCACATACCACTAGACAATACGTAAACCTGTAAACGATTACACACTAAATGCCAAGAAATGCAGAAGTCCATATATGGCACGGGAAATACCCTGTTGCAGGAATATGCAAAAATAGAAAACACCGATTGGTGGGACTTCAAGGTACTTTCAAAATTTTAGAACAACGTTAAGTGACCTAGAACAATTGTCAAAAGAGGGACATACTACTTATCTCCACGATTTGAGTGACTTTTATGAAATCACCGAAATAAAAGTTAATGAAGAGGTTGTTCATCACTGCAAAATTACTGATTTTCAGTTTGGTATGCAAAATAATTTGTTTTTCTCAGTTTAGGAAAATTTTCAGGAGGTGATGGGGAGCTGGATCCGCTATGCAAACTAATTGTAGATAAAGTCAATACTGCATATTAAGGCCTGTCAAGTGCCTTTCTCGAATACAGAAGACGAAATAAATTGTATTTGCAAAGTCGTATTGCTAACTTTTGACACTGTTAATCACTTTAATGGTGTCTACTAAACCCTGTAAAACATTGCTTATTTATTATATGTATAAAAAGCTTGCCCTCACGGGTTCATAAGGTTTTACTCAGCTCAAAAACATTTTATTGGATCCCTCCGTTTTTTTTGTTTTGTAGACCGTATTAATATGATTAAATCGTAAGGTTTAGGATTTTTAATTTGGCGTCTTGGTACTAATGCATTACATTTAACGTATCTAAATGGGGTAATTTTAAAAACTGACTTTAGATTATCTTTTTCTCTGTGATCCGCGCCTGTTGTTGATAAGTTCTGAGATTTATGACGATCTCATTTTGTATATGTGTGAAACACACCTACAAGTCATCCGTGAGTGTGTGGACAGTGAAGATCATTGGCTCTACAACTATTGTCAAGATCAATTGAATATGTTTGAGGCCTCATCCAAAGGCTCTTAATGTTCTCCACATTCAGCGCTTAAAGTCAACATAGGCCGTTTCGGGCTTTGATATTCAAATGTGGGAGAACCTATCGACCAAGCTAGATATCGAGTGACTTAGCTTGGATGGCTCACTAGTTATATCTCACTTGGGATTCCCTCTGGGTTCTCACGAGAATATTTGTACATAATCGGCCACTAAGAAGCCCACTTGAATATACCTGCGTGGTTTTGTGTTGCAAGTGTTTGTGTTTTTTGATGTATTGCCAGTCAATCTAGGTTAAGATTCGGTAATGAAAGTTTTCATATGGATTTTTAAAAGTATAAATTGGCCTACTAATTCGAGAAACAGAAAAACACTCGAGATAAATCTTTCCAAGCACTCATTATAATTTATCCTCTTATCAGTGCCACAGTATAATTGTCTATTATTCCAGAATGCTTCCTTTTTTAATGTAACTGTATACTGGGTTAGTTAGTTCCTGTATGTCTTCTTGAATTTTTACATTTCCTTTGAAGGGTTTTATGATTTTACCCTATGGTCTGTTCGCTCTCAGTTATACCATTTTTCGAAACAAAATTTGTGCGTTTTATCACAGAATAAATTACGCTATATTTAATTGAGTCTATTTAGCTAAAATCTGCAATTGTTATGATTCATCACAATGGACTCTGCTGCATGATTTAAAATGTAGTAAATAAAGAAGTATTAAAACTACGTGTAAAAATGATTTTCATAGGTTAACTTATAGAAATATATTGAGGATAAATCCCATATCAAAGATATCCTACTTATTTTAATATAAGTATTCTAGAACTGGATATTGACTTCAACAACTTTAGAGCGTCTTATTCTTCTCGCTTACAACATTTAAATTATCCAGGAAACGAGTACATATCTAAAAGACTGGAATGATAAGGAAATCAACATAGCGAGTAGAATAGAAAGCAAGTGTTTACAGAATCTGCTTTTCGATATCAGTCCACAAAGAATATATCTGTACTAATAATGCTAGGAGTATATAGATATCAATACCATGGTTGGAATTGATAGTTTCAAATAAATTGAGCATTGGGTAGAAAGTTAATAATAAATATGTTTTTGTTATAAATCATTTGGATATAACAAAAATATATCTATGATTAATGTTGGGAGTATGTTTTTGTCATCAATTTTATCAGATATTCGGCTTTATGAGCAATAAGTCTATCCCTATGGTAGGAAATTATTGTAAGTATTCCACTGATACAGGCTACTGTGATTGCATTTTAAAAAATTCTCAGTACACGAGACAAATATTTTTCACCTTAGGAAGTCTTATGCACAGAGAATTACAACAATTTTGCTTTCTTATCTAGGAAATGACGTCCTAAGTTTAATTAATGTAAAGGGGAGATGAGGTCACTTAGCTCCAAAATATGTTTTCAAGTTGCACAATTGTGCATACACGTTACTTGTTTAATGTATTTCAACAAAAAGGCGGATAAATATTATGGTCGATGGACACTGTTGAGGCGTTTCAAGCCAGGACGAAACGGCTTACCGATATTTTCTTATTTTTGGTAGACACAATTTTGCAACAGCTCTCGCCATACTAAACTGTTCACCATAATCTACCCACCAAGATTCAAACTACTTTAATAACATAGTTAATGTGGAATTTAAATAATCATTTCTTAGCTGTAACAAGTCATGTTAAGTCAATCAAAAACATTTGCATTGAGCTCGTATTTATTGGCGCTAACCAACATTGATGAAGCTATTCCTCACTAATGACGCCGTGTAGTGTCCCACCTTTTGCTCACAATCTTACACAACTGAGTCTTACACATCTCCAAAGGAAACAGATGGTTCACAAGGTTTTAGACTAAGTTTAATGGTCACATAATAGTATTGTGAGGACAGATCTCCATGAACATATGTAAGTGAACCCCATAACTACTTATATTTCTGGTCAAAGATGTAGTACAAATAAATCAGGTATTCTCTTTTGAACTCAACGAAATGATAATTTAGTAAATTCTAAGTGTTTTACCTTAGCTTGGTAGCTTCAACGCGACTTAAATAATCTATGGAAGCATGTTATTGCAGTCACATGTTTGTCCACGTGGAGACGAACTGTTTGACTGAATAATGCACAAACGACTTATTACCGTGTGCCATCCTTTAGTTTGTTGACTATCCATCTCTGTTGTTCCTTCCCAATAACTCATTAAACTGTTTACAAATTGTTACCGATTGGAGGATTTCTCTCGGATGTTACTGAATAAATTTCTGGGATAAGTGATTTACTAAGATTGTCATTAAACCCTGATTTATCACTATAGCTTACCTACTTATGCTGTTGAACTCTGTCTAGTAGTTTTCTATACGTAATCGTACTCAACCAGTCGCTTATCACTCAAAAGGATCATGTTGTCCCACTGTCTTAATCATAAATTAAGTGAATAACTATAACTGATTGTATTATGGAAGATTTTATTTCAGATAAAATGTTTTGAAAAGTGAGTTTTTCATGTTGTCTTGAATCTGCCTTTGTCCGTCTTTTGACCATGATTTGTTCAAGCTGATAATCCCCTCATATTACGTAATGAAATTCATTTACTACATGTTTACATCGAGTTTAATCACCCATATAACCTTACAACATGTAGCTTTTATTATATAAGAGGACTTGAAAGTGAGGCTAATATAGTAAATGTGAATTCCAGATCTCATTTTTCTCATGCAATCCTTACTTTGAAATCGATCATTTAATCGATATCCCCTTGTAGTGAACGAGAACACAAATGGGGACAACCAAATGTACTTGAACACAAAATTACATAATCTCTTAGTAAAATCTGAGAACGATGTATAAAATACTTCATTCTCAAAATGTCAATCAGTTGTTTCAGACTTGACTGTTCCTTCGTTTTCTCACTAATAGTTCTCTTTTCTTCGATCTCCCTAACCTGTCACCAAGTATTTCACTTTCGATTGATGATACACACTACTTATATCTGTGGACATCAGTAGCACACACCACACACTGTCTTATTCAAATTTGAATGAGTCAGGAAAAAAACGAGATCCAGTCATTTAGATACTAATTCTGAATGAGTGGCAATTACAAACAATTTTGTCTCATATAGACTTAAAAAGAGATGTGCATTTTCACTTTTCTCCATTATTCTAACTGAGCGAACCACTGAAACACAGTTAATATAATTTACTAAATGGTTTGGTGTCAAATATTTAACCCGTTTGTAGCTGTTCTTTCTACCATACCGATAAAACCACGAACCAAAACTATTATAAGCAAAACCGGTTAATCAGGCCTCATTTTATCAAAAACTGTAACTTGAACAAAATTGTTATTGATTGCTTTATTATCAAGTGTAACTATTCCGTGTGCATAAATGCATACCAATTTCACTGTGGGGTCTACTCACGCCTTCTCTTGTCTTTCTCTCCCAGATTCCTACTCACACTCGTCATCCCGTCATCAACCACATACCACTAGACAATACGTAAACCTGTAAACGATTACACACTAAATGCCAAGAAATGCAGAAGTCCATATATGGCACGGGAAATACCCTGTTGCAGGAATATGCAAAAATAGAAAACACCGATTGGTGGGACTTCAAGGTACTTTCAAAATTTTAGAACAACGTTAAGTGACCTAGAACAATTGTCAAAAGAGGGACATACTACTTATCTCCACGATTTGAGTGACTTTTATGAAATCACCGAAATAAAAGTTAATGAAGAGGTTGTTCATCACTGCAAAATTACTGATTTTCAGTTTGGTATGCAAAATAATTTGTTTTTCTCAGTTTAGGAAAATTTTCAGGAGGTGATGGGGAGCTGGATCCGCTATGCAAACTAATTGTAGATAAAGTCAATACTGCATATTAAGGCCTGTCAAGTGCCTTTCTCGAATACAGAAGACGAAATAAATTGTATTTGCAAAGTCGTATTGCTAACTTTTGACACTGTTAATCACTTTAATGGTGTCTACTAAACCCTGTAAAACATTGCTTATTTATTATATGTATAAAAAGCTTGCCCTCACGGGTTCATAAGGTTTTACTCAGCTCAAAAACATTTTATTGGATCCCTCCGTTTTTTTTGTTTTGTAGACCGTATTAATATGATTAAATCGTAAGGTTTAGGATTTTTAATTTGGCGTCTTGGTACTAATGCATTACATTTAACGTATCTAAATGGGGTAATTTTAAAAACTGACTTTAGATTATCTTTTTCTCTGTGATCCGCGCCTGTTGTTGATAAGTTCTGAGATTTATGACGATCTCATTTTGTATATGTGTGAAACACACCTACAAGTCATCCGTGAGTGTGTGGACAGTGAAGATCATTGGCTCTACAACTATTGTCAAGATCAATTGAATATGTTTGAGGCCTCATCCAAAGGCTCTTAATGTTCTCCACATTCAGCGCTTAAAGTCAACATAGGCCGTTTCGGGCTTTGATATTCAAATGTGGGAGAACCTATCGACCAAGCTAGATATCGAGTGACTTAGCTTGGATGGCTCACTAGTTATATCTCACTTGGGATTCCCTCTGGGTTCTCACGAGAATATTTGTACATAATCGGCCACTAAGAAGCCCACTTGAATATACCTGCGTGGTTTTGTGTTGCAAGTGTTTGTGTTTTTTGATGTATTGCCAGTCAATCTAGGTTAAGATTCGGTAATGAAAGTTTTCATATGGATTTTTAAAAGTATAAATTGGCCTACTAATTCGAGAAACAGAAAAACACTCGAGATAAATCTTTCCAAGCACTCATTATAATTTATCCTCTTATCAGTGCCACAGTATAATTGTCTATTATTCCAGAATGCTTCCTTTTTTAATGTAACTGTATACTGGGTTAGTTAGTTCCTGTATGTCTTCTTGAATTTTTACATTTCCTTTGAAGGGTTTTATGATTTTACCCTATGGTCTGTTCGCTCTCAGTTATACCATTTTTCGAAACAAAATTTGTGCGTTTTATCACAGAATAAATTACGCTATATTTAATTGAGTCTATTTAGCTAAAATCTGCAATTGTTATGATTCATCACAATGGACTCTGCTGCATGATTTAAAATGTAGTAAATAAAGAAGTATTAAAACTACGTGTAAAAATGATTTTCATAGGTTAACTTATAGAAATATATTGAGGATAAATCCCATATCAAAGATATCCTACTTATTTTAATATAAGTATTCTAGAACTGGATATTGACTTCAACAACTTTAGAGCGTCTTATTCTTCTCGCTTACAACATTTAAATTATCCAGGAAACGAGTACATATCTAAAAGACTGGAATGATAAGGAAATCAACATAGCGAGTAGAATAGAAAGCAAGTGTTTACAGAATCTGCTTTTCGATATCAGTCCACAAAGAATATATCTGTACTAATAATGCTAGGAGTATATAGATATCAATACCATGGTTGGAATTGATAGTTTCAAATAAATTGAGCATTGGGTAGAAAGTTAATAATAAATATGTTTTTGTTATAAATCATTTGGATATAACAAAAATATATCTATGATTAATGTTGGGAGTATGTTTTTGTCATCAATTTTATCAGATATTCGGCTTTATGAGCAATAAGTCTATCCCTATGGTAGGAAATTATTGTAAGTATTCCACTGATACAGGCTACTGTGATTGCATTTTAAAAAATTCTCAGTACACGAGACAAATATTTTTCACCTTAGGAAGTCTTATGCACAGAGAATTACAACAATTTTGCTTTCTTATCTAGGAAATGACGTCCTAAGTTTAATTAATGTAAAGGGGAGATGAGGTCACTTAGCTCCAAAATATGTTTTCAAGTTGCACAATTGTGCATACACGTTACTTGTTTAATGTATTTCAACAAAAAGGCGGATAAATATTATGGTCGATGGACACTGTTGAGGCGTTTCAAGCCAGGACGAAACGGCTTACCGATATTTTCTTATTTTTGGTAGACACAATTTTGCAACAGCTCTCGCCATACTAAACTGTTCACCATAATCTACCCACCAAGATTCAAACTACTTTAATAACATAGTTAATGTGGAATTTAAATAATCATTTCTTAGCTGTAACAAGTCATGTTAAGTCAATCAAAAACATTTGCATTGAGCTCGTATTTATTGGCGCTAACCAACATTGATGAAGCTATTCCTCACTAATGACGCCGTGTAGTGTCCCACCTTTTGCTCACAATCTTACACAACTGAGTCTTACACATCTCCAAAGGAAACAGATGGTTCACAAGGTTTTAGACTAAGTTTAATGGTCACATAATAGTATTGTGAGGACAGATCTCCATGAACATATGTAAGTGAACCCCATAACTACTTATATTTCTGGTCAAAGATGTAGTACAAATAAATCAGGTATTCTCTTTTGAACTCAACGAAATGATAATTTAGTAAATTCTAAGTGTTTTACCTTAGCTTGGTAGCTTCAACGCGACTTAAATAATCTATGGAAGCATGTTATTGCAGTCACATGTTTGTCCACGTGGAGACGAACTGTTTGACTGAATAATGCACAAACGACTTATTACCGTGTGCCATCCTTTAGTTTGTTGACTATCCATCTCTGTTGTTCCTTCCCAATAACTCATTAAACTGTTTACAAATTGTTACCGATTGGAGGATTTCTCTCGGATGTTACTGAATAAATTTCTGGGATAAGTGATTTACTAAGATTGTCATTAAACCCTGATTTATCACTATAGCTTACCTACTTATGCTGTTGAACTCTGTCTAGTAGTTTTCTATACGTAATCGTACTCAACCAGTCGCTTATCACTCAAAAGGATCATGTTGTCCCACTGTCTTAATCATAAATTAAGTGAATAACTATAACTGATTGTATTATGGAAGATTTTATTTCAGATAAAATGTTTTGAAAAGTGAGTTTTTCATGTTGTCTTGAATCTGCCTTTGTCCGTCTTTTGACCATGATTTGTTCAAGCTGATAATCCCCTCATATTACGTAATGAAATTCATTTACTACATGTTTACATCGAGTTTAATCACCCATATAACCTTACAACATGTAGCTTTTATTATATAAGAGGACTTGAAAGTGAGGCTAATATAGTAAATGTGAATTCCAGATCTCATTTTTCTCATGCAATCCTTACTTTGAAATCGATCATTTAATCGATATCCCCTTGTAGTGAACGAGAACACAAATGGGGACAACCAAATGTACTTGAACACAAAATTACATAATCTCTTAGTAAAATCTGAGAACGATGTATAAAATACTTCATTCTCAAAATGTCAATCAGTTGTTTCAGACTTGACTGTTCCTTCGTTTTCTCACTAATAGTTCTCTTTTCTTCGATCTCCCTAACCTGTCACCAAGTATTTCACTTTCGATTGATGATACACACTACTTATATCTGTGGACATCAGTAGCACACACCACACACTGTCTTATTCAAATTTGAATGAGTCAGGAAAAAAACGAGATCCAGTCATTTAGATACTAATTCTGAATGAGTGGCAATTACAAACAATTTTGTCTCATATAGACTTAAAAAGAGATGTGCATTTTCACTTTTCTCCATTATTCTAACTGAGCGAACCACTGAAACACAGTTAATATAATTTACTAAATGGTTTGGTGTCAAATATTTAACCCGTTTGTAGCTGTTCTTTCTACCATACCGATAAAACCACGAACCAAAACTATTATAAGCAAAACCGGTTAATCAGGCCTCATTTTATCAAAAACTGTAACTTGAACAAAATTGTTATTGATTGCTTTATTATCAAGTGTAACTATTCCGTGTGCATAAATGCATACCAATTTCACTGTGGGGTCTACTCACGCCTTCTCTTGTCTTTCTCTCCCAGATTCCTACTCACACTCGTCATCCCGTCATCAACCACATACCACTAGACAATACGTAAACCTGTAAACGATTACACACTAAATGCCAAGAAATGCAGAAGTCCATATATGGCACGGGAAATACCCTGTTGCAGGAATATGCAAAAATAGAAAACACCGATTGGTGGGACTTCAAGGTACTTTCAAAATTTTAGAACAACGTTAAGTGACCTAGAACAATTGTCAAAAGAGGGACATACTACTTATCTCCACGATTTGAGTGACTTTTATGAAATCACCGAAATAAAAGTTAATGAAGAGGTTGTTCATCACTGCAAAATTACTGATTTTCAGTTTGGTATGCAAAATAATTTGTTTTTCTCAGTTTAGGAAAATTTTCAGGAGGTGATGGGGAGCTGGATCCGCTATGCAAACTAATTGTAGATAAAGTCAATACTGCATATTAAGGCCTGTCAAGTGCCTTTCTCGAATACAGAAGACGAAATAAATTGTATTTGCAAAGTCGTATTGCTAACTTTTGACACTGTTAATCACTTTAATGGTGTCTACTAAACCCTGTAAAACATTGCTTATTTATTATATGTATAAAAAGCTTGCCCTCACGGGTTCATAAGGTTTTACTCAGCTCAAAAATATTTTAATGGAGCCGTCTGGTTATTGTATTCTAAGCCGGTTAATCAGGCCTCATTTTATCATAAACTGTAACTTGAGCAAAATCTCAATACATTTAAATCGGAATTATTTGGTTTAAATGACCAGGTCATCTTCACATTGAGAAAATAAACACGACTAAAGATGACATAGAATTCCTGTAAGTCATATGGGATAACACGGCTACGGTCACGTGGTTAGTTGATGTTCTTCGGTAAGATGATTAATTTGTCACTCAAAACAATCAGTATGGAAATTCATTGAAATTCTAAACAGATCTGAGTGTGACCGTCATTGAGAAGGAAGGAGAACCGTACGTCCTTTTCGTCCTAGGATGGGACTCCTCAGAGACGCGGTAATCGAATCAAGGATTTGAGTCTCGCTCGGATGCCTAATCTATTGACCAACTTCGAGAATTTCCTTTCGAAGCTAGTTACTAGTGAAAGCATGATAACTGTGATTATGGAGTTATGGCGATTGTTGAACTTCATTGAAATCCTAAAGGGTCGTCGACAGGCACTGCTGATGAGTTCCACGCCATGACGAAATGT